CAAGCACTGACTCTAGTGCCATGCAGCCTGAGTTTGAATCCGAGTTCAAATCTTGGCTTTTATCATTTACCTAATGTGGTCAAGGTACTTCATTTCTATGTGCTTTAGTTTTCCCAGATGGAAAATGGAGACAATAATGGTACCTACCTCGTAGGCTTGTAGAAAGGAATAAATGAATTAATTTATGTAAAGTACTTAAAATAGTGTCTAGCATACACTCTGCATATATCATCATTATTATCAGAATATTTTGTTCATTATTGACAAGCTTGGAAACCATGTAAGAAAGCACTACAACTAAAAACGAGCTGGTTTATATACTAAATACTTCCGCAGACATCAAAACATTATTTAATTGTTCTCCTGGGCTTCCCCCCCCCACCGCCCCCAATACCTGCTATTCCTGAACATTAGGTTGCTGATACTTCTGCTCATTGATACACAGTATTACTATGTTTTGGAACATCAAGAGATAGTAATTACTATAAAGGCTACTGTTTCTCCAGGGCTGATTCTTTGCTGAGCTCTTTAGGTATATGCCATGGAGGTCAAATAACTTGTCCTGTATCCCTAAGCTAGTGTGTGTCAAGGTTGCTGTTCCAATCCAGAATGCCTACCTGCAGAACCCACCTGCTCATCCCCCACACCACTTGTGTTTTAAATTATGTTCTTGTTTTTGTTAGCTCTATGAAGCCCCAAAGAGTTTTTGACTGATATGCATAGTGAGAAATGCCACAAAAATCTAAAAGCATGTATATTTAAAAATAAGATTTAAAAACAATTTTTGCGGGGCCAGCAGTTGGCATAATGGCTATGTCGCTGGATGCCCATGTAGTCGACCATGGTTCAAGTCCTGGACCTGGTGGCTTAAACTCACGCCAGGTGCATGTGCGTGTGTGCCCAAGATCCCAAGAGGAGAATGAAGAAGAAGGGATTGCGGCATGGCCATCCCCCATGGGGGGGTGGGGGTGATTTCTCGCTTTCTGTCTCTCTGTAGAGCATACATGCCCTATAGCAAAAACCTTTCAAAGAAAAAAAATGTGTGTGTGTGTGTGTGTTCTCTAAAGCCCTGAAAGAGACAGAGATAGACACACAGACACACACACACACAGAGTACTTGGAAGCATCTGATTTACTGTGAGTTAAAATGTCGTTCATGTTCCTTTATGGTTTAGAAACCATCTTCACGTGTACCTTGCCGAACGTCCTGGAACTCTTAAGAGATCAGCAACCCACATATTACCTTCTCAATTTTGTAGATGAGAACAGTGAAGCACAGTCCACATGCAATGTCTGTTTTGGCCAACAGCGCACCTCTACTTTCGATAAACACATGTAAAGAGTGTTCGCTCTCAAGGCACCTTTTTAGATCCACGATTTGAGTACAATTTAATGAAGACTATTCTAGTGCCTTGTATTTAAGTCAGGTCCGTGGTGAGTAGCTGGGATAAATGTTCATTGCTCAGGTTCTGCCTCAAACATTAATGGCAGAAAGGAAAGGTAAGCTACCTCCCCAGGATAGATGCAATCATCAGGCTCCCTCAAGAGATTCTCAACATTATTTAGACATGGTATTTAAACATGCATGCCTCTTTGCAAAGACCTAAGCGAAAGGCAGCAAAGATAGTAGCAATGCCATGGGTGCTAAAAATCCTTATAAATATCACTTTCAATAGCCCTATGGTATACCTTCATTTGGATACAACTCTCGTGCCTTCATTGCTACGGGCTCCACCAGGAGTCACAACCTCCCAGCTGCTTTCTCTCCATGCTCAGGGTGGTTGATGGATTGCTCCTTAAGGGTGGTTTAGAGTGTAATATGCTTTGGCACAGCTGGTTTCCTACATGTACCACAGACTGTGTAGTGTCAGTTACTTCAAAGAACTAACATGAGTTAGTCTATAAGGTTGTCACAGCTATAGTTTCTTAAACGAGGGGACATTTCTTTGACATATTTCTTACACATCGAGGATGCCCTCTTACACATATGTCTCACCTAGTGTAAAGACAAACACTTCGAGAACAGTCAGGTGTCCCTTAGCTTTCTCTTTGGGGTATAAATTAACGATCAGGCTAGATTTATAGCAATGATAACCTGAGCCCACAAGTGGTTGCTGGATAACAGGATTTCAAGGCGAGATTTTTATGGGGTCAGATTTTTTAGGTGTGGCTATTAAAGATAGAGATTTATAGTTGTTAGGAAGTAGGAAATTCATTAAAACTTACTGTCAACTACCTCTACTTCATTCTTACTTTCTACAGAATAACCTACTCAAAAAATGGAGGGCAGGTAAAAACATACATACTGCTTGGGGGCCACCCACTTTGCCTGTGGGACACCTTCACTACACATCACCCTCAATGTCTTCAGTTTCTATGACCACATCTATGTTTGGGGTTACATCATGACTTGCTACGCTATTTATCAAAATAGCCAAACATTTAAGTATTAGATAGTTTTTAAAAGGAATATAAACACGTTTCATCATCTGTTTTCACTTCACTGGGAGCTAGTATTCCAAGTGGACACAATATTCCTAAGTGAACGAAATCGGCTGATTTCAATAAAAGCATAGGCAGGTCCAGCTATGGTGGCACTGGTATGTGAGGTTGAGGTCACATGGGAGGTCAAGATTTGGATTCTGGGCAACCTGAGAGTGTCAGGCATGGTAGCGTCTACCTATAATTCTTACTAACTAGGAGGTGAGGGCAGGTGATCACAAAGGCAAGACTCTGCCAAAGTACCTATCTCTCTCTCTCTCTCCATTTTATTCCTGTGCTTGGTCTCTCTATCTTTCTCTCATATATTAAAAAAAAAAAAAGCGTATGTAAAAGATGGTAAATTTCTTTTAGATACTATGGGTCAAAAACTGGCCTAATCAATCTATTAGGAGACCAGGAAAATCATGACACATTTTTGTGCAGAAAAATATGTCATGACTTTTCCAATGGCCCAATAACTGAAACAATGAAAACTGTAATGGAATTAAATTCTTAGAGCTGAAGGAGAAATTTAGAAATGATGCAATCCTAGACAGTCATTTCACAGATGAGTGAGGCTAGGCACAGAGTTAATCAAAAAACAACCATGAGACCAGCAGTTGGCATAATGGCTATGTTGCTGGACTCCCATGTAGTCGACTGTGGTTCGTGTCCTGGATCTGGTGGCTTAAACTCAGGCCAGGCATGTGTGTGTGCGTGCCCAAGATCCCAAGAGGAGAATGGAGAAGGGACTGCAGTGTGGCCATCCCTCCTGGGGGCTGATTTCTTGCTTTCTGTTTCTCTCTCGCTCTACCTTTCTGGCAAGCGCACGTGCCCTAGAGTTAAAATTTCTCCAGAAAAACAAAACAAAACAAAACAACCAACCACCAAAGGCCAACCCAGGCAAACAAACAAATCTCCTCCTTTATTCAAAACGTTTTGCACTACTGGGTTGGCCCATGCCAATGCCATGAATAAATTCATCAAAAAGCATGTTGCCATCTTGATGAACTTTAAGGCTTAAAGCTAATGAATGACAAAATTCAGAGTCACACACAGGATACACACAGCATTCAACAGTAACATTTTTTTCATAAATATTCTGTAATATTAGATATGGTAGCACAGGAGGAAAATACCCTGTTCATTGAGGTCAAGCCTAACTAACATGATCAAAATATAGTGATGCTCAAAACAGATAATGAGTCCACAGCTAAAACTCTAAAATACTAAAAGAACTATTTAAGTATAAGAAAAACAGAAGAAAAAAATGATGTTCTTCTAATTCATGACATTATATGACATTATAAAGTTATTCATGTCTTATTCCATTGTTATATTATAAATTACTCCATAAGGTCAAACTCACATATACTGAAAAATATTCTTGAATCGTTCTGGGTCTCAGTACTAACCTAAGAAACACAAATTACATTCTTTGTGAATACTGCCCTCTGCAGTTGTGTAATACTCAACTTATATGGCCTTACCCAAAAACCCTGTCCTTGAAAATCTCTTCATAAAATATAGCATACCTACCCTCAGAACATAGACATAAATATGTAATGCAATCAGTGATATGAGATATATACCGATAGAATGCATATGCAAGATAAATCTTAGAATATTTATTTTTCAGGACCAGCAGTTGACATAATGGCTATATCGCTGGACTCCCATGTAGTTGACCACAGTTCGAGTCCCAGACCAGGTGACTTAAACTCATGCCGGGCGTGTGTGCCCAAGATCCTGAGAGGAGAATGGAGGAGCAGGGATTGTGGCATGGCCATCCCCCTCCCGGGGTGGGGGGGTTGATTTCTCGCTTTCTCTCTATTTCTCTTTTTCTTTCTGGTGAGCGCACGCACCCTATAGCAAAAACCTCTCCAAAACAAAACCAAAAACAAACCAAAAAAAGAATTTTTATTTTCAATCTTTTCCCTTTTTAAGGTCTAATAAAATTAATTAAACGCAGCAAAAATTAATTAAATACATCATATATTTCCACCATATCTCTACTTATGAGGGTATAAGAAGATGCCTTGTACACAGCAACAAATGACATTAAACTCATAAAATTAATTTTCCTGTTTCATTTCATAGCAGATCAGTTATCATCATTAACCCTTTTCATGGCCAAAAACAAATTAATGAACAATTACAAATATACATATACATGCGCATGTATACATATATATACACACATGCGCACACATATACATATATATGATTCTGGAAGAGAAAGAAACCATGCTGATTATCCCTTATTCCGGACTCCCTTATTCACACATTTACCCCTGGCCCCTTTAAGAGACCTGGGTGAAGTTAAAATATTTCTGTGAAGAAGCATGGCAATTAGACCAGAGAAAGGACCGCTTCTTCCCCAAATACTGTGAGGTCAGGGTTTGAATTTTGGCTAATTCCTCTTGAGAACAGCATCCTTCTCATAATCCCTTGCAACAGCTCCACACCACCCCCCTTCACCACGTCCATCAGAGGAGGGGACACAGTCTGGCCTTTACCTGTAAAGCTGCTGTTCATTTCAGGAACATCATCCTCCTCCTCATTCTCCGCATGGACTATGCCAGCATTTTGCATATCATTGTAAGACTTGGTTCGCTTCGGGGTCGACTGCTTGGAGCCAGACTGAAGGCTTTGCAAGGCATCCGTTGTGATCACTTTCCCACTGACTGGCTGGCTAGGAGGTTTGGGTGTCCCATAATAGTTTCCTAGGTGATGGAAAGACACATTTGCATGTTTCAAAAGGAATACTTTTTTTTTTTAAGACTTCACATCCAAATTTCTTAATCAATTAAAAAAGAAAAAAAAAAAGCATTAAACTGGAAAACCAGAACAAACTGTATTTCATTTCTGGAGTGAGTTAGAAAAGATGTCTTTCCTACCCAGTTTGATATGGTGATTTCAGAAGAGAAGAGGAAAGTTGCATTGTTTGGGTGCAAGGAACCTCCAAGGGCTAAAAACAAAGGCGGCTGTGCTGAATAGTAAACTTTCATCCTCATTACATTTGAATTTCAATTGGCCATCTTTTTACATATATGCACTAGCATAATGCTGAATCCAATTTAGAGTAGGCCTCACAGAAAATAAAAAATTCATTACTGCCAGCATCCTTACAAGCCTAAAAAGTTGAGGTCACCATCCCTTAATAAGGGGACTCTTCAAGAGGGAACCAGGGCAATGCTAAAAAAAACGAGGACAGTGCATACCACGTGGCGCCTCTTTAACTGAATGGCAGCCTTACTCTCAGGGGTCGTGTGGGGTGGGGACGAATCCTTGGCAAGTTTTAATAGAAAACCCTGTGTCAATGGTGACAGGACTTACGGGTGTCCCTCTACTAGTAATGGCCTGTCTTCACTTTTAACCACTTTTTCTCAAAGTTTGGTTTAGCTTCCACTTTCAGATGCTATATGATTTCAAGTGGTAAAAAATGCATTTTAATTTTTAATTTTAATAGAGATGCATATTTCAAATTTGCAATAGAAAAATCTAACTAGTAAGCTGTGGTAGCAACCTAAAGTTTGCTTTGAAAAGTTAAGAGAGATGGCTGGCTCCATGGCCTAGTGGTTAAGACAGCTGGATCCCACATGGCTGATGGCATAGTTCAAGTCCTGGACCTGGTGGTTTGAGAAATAGGCTGGGTGCATGTGTGTATGTGTGCCCAAAATCCCAAAAGGAAGAGAGACCGAGAAGAGACTGGACGCGGCCTGACCATTCCCTGTGGGGGTTGCTTTTTCCTCTCTTTCTCTCTCTCTCTCTCTCTCTCTCTGTCTTTCTAGAGAGCACATGCATGCTCTAGCAGGAAAAAAAAAAAGAGCAGAGAAGGTGTTGAGGAGAGAGAGAAAAACTAATACTTTTAAAACGTAGGGGCCAGATAGTAGCTAAGCAGTATTTCAAGTGGACCCATATGGGAATTTGCTTCTGTAGCTTTGCTTTAAGTGCTGTGCACAGGCACATGTACCCATGATCCTGGCCGACTGGGGCCTGGAGTGGAGCGCGGGGTAAAGGACCCACCAGAGGTGCCCCTCTCCCTCCCTCCTTACTTCTCTTTCTTTCTCTCATGAGAGAAACAAAAAAATTAGCTGACGTACTTCACAATAAAGTTTAAAAGAGCAGCTTCATATAACAAAAATTAATCAGCTGGATAACATAACAGTGATGACAGTGGTAAGAGCTTCCTTTTGGAAATTATATTAAAACAGAAAGCATTAAGTAAATAGTTAATTTTGTTCATCTCATAGTCTAATCTGAACCAAATAATGAAAGTGGTTCATCAATGATGGAAGTTTGGAAAAACAGTTCGGAGTCAGCAATATTCAGCAACAACAAGATAAAAGACATTGGCATCAGGACGCCGATGGATTCACTCACCGTTTCACGTCTGCGAGAGTAAGGCCGAGGAAGACAGAAAATGCTGCGTCCTTCAGCAAATCCTAACCAACGTTTATATTGGGCTGTTGGGAAAGTCATGACGCATTGTTGCATAGAAGAACATTTAAAAAAAAACATGACTTTTCCAACAACTCAGTAATTCCCTGTTTAGTAAAGCAGAATTTAAATAATAAATCCTGTACATGCTGCTTCTTCCCAAGGATCCAACCCCATTGTCTAACCTCAGTACATAGTTACATAACATATGCGTTTTATTATCCAAGCACACACACACACACAAAAGGCAATAGGAGATGGTGATGTTGGTCTTCATGAGACATCCAGCCAGTAATAAGCTTCTCCCTTATATATTAATTAAGATTTCTTTTCTTAAGTGAAGAGGTATTAATGTTTAAATTACTCTTTTGAATCACCATATTTATGAATATACACACTCACTCTTTGAAAGTGATGTAAAAGTCTGTCAGCAGGGGAACTTGGAACATACAAATTAAGAAACAGGGGACCAGCACTTAGCATAATGTCTATGTCACTGGACTCCCATGTAGTTGACCGCAGTTCGAGTCCTGGACCTGGTGGCTTAAACTCACGCCAGACACGTGTACGTGCGTGACCAAGACCCCAAGAGGAGAATGGAGAAGAAGGGATTGCAGCGTGGCCAACCCCCTGGGGTGTGATTTCTCGCCTTTTCTCTGTCTCTCTGGCGAGCGCATGTACCATATAGCAAAAACCTCTCAAATAAATAAAAATAAAATTTAAAAACCCCAGTAGATTAGCTCGGCTGCAGTGGCATACAGTAGTAAGACAGTGATGTTTAGCGGGTAGGACCATATGGAAGGTCCAGGTTCGATTCCCAGCCCATCCTAAAAGCTGGATGTAATGACATGCACCTCCATTAAAGAGGTGGAGGCAGGAAGACTGTGATGGAGAGAGATTCTGTCTTTTACAGAAAGGTGGGGGCTGAAGAGGATAGGGGAGGCATCACATTTAAATTTGAGGAGTACCAGTGGAAGTCTGCAAAGTGCACTCTGGTGGCAACTACTCAACTCAGTGGCTATAGTTTTTCCATGGAAGATGAGCTACTAATTTCTTCAAAAATCTTCTTTCCGGTTTCTATCTTAAAGGCATAAAAACTGAGTATAACCAGCTTGAGGATAGGCATCCCACAGATACATGTAGGGACTAACACTTGAGGAAGGAAGAAATGGCCCAGAACCAAGAAATGCACTTGCATTTCTACAGAGCTTATGCCAAAGAACATCTCATGCCCTTGTTAGAGGTGTAACAGGCCAAAGTATTAACTTTTGCATTCACGGAAGACTAGTGATGTTTAAAAACGTACGACAGTTAACTATTTAAAAGATAACCTCCATGGTAAGAAAAAAGACAAAGCTCTACTATTTTAATTCCTTCCTGATCAATATTACACCAAAGCATTATGTGTATTTTAGAGTTAGGTAATAAATTAAGACTAATGTCTATAATGTCTATAAACAAGAACCTTCTACCGAGAGATGTGACTAAAGTATGGGACCCTTTACTTATTATTTTATATTTATAATCATAAAACCTTATCACTTTGTTACAGAGCCATTAAACAGAAATCATCATTCATAAAATTAATATTTTTCAAAAGTCAAAGACTGGGATGGCAACTATAGATACTAGAGGTAGCACAGAAGGGGGTGGGTAATGGGGGTGGGACAGAGGGGATCAGGGTGAAAACGAAACACTTAAGAGACACGAAAATGAAAAGTAATTTGTTGATGGTAATGTATATTTATAATGTCTCTGACTTGATAAATATGCACTATATTCATGCCGGGAAAACCATGCTGTAACTGTAAAGATGTAATGAAATGTAAATAAAATTTTTTAATCAATTAATACTTGGATACCCACCTTAATGACAGAAATCAGTGCCTGGAAAATGAAAGTTCCACCTATATTTGACAAATGTGTGTGGATTTTCCAGCAGATGCCCATTCTCAGCTACCAAACTTAAAGTCTTAAAACTAATAAATGATTAGCACATTTGTCAATGCAACTCCATATAGTCCCAAACAATCTACTTGTTCAAAGTTGTTTCCTGTATCTGGAAATTAGTTTTAGCTTAATTACATATTGTTAGACTGAACTATAAGAAATTGCTATTATGAAAGATACAAACTGTCGGGCAGTAGTCATTTCACTTGGCTTAACCTGATACATAAGGTATTAGCCGTCCTGAGGAACTTCAGCACACATACAGATGAAGAGCTTGGATGAGACAGCCCAGGGTTCAGATCTCACCACTAAGTAGCTATGTGATGCTGGGCAACTCATCTAACCATTTCATAAAGTCTTTGCCCTTTTCCTTAAACTGGAATTCTAAGAAAACCCTGTTTATGGACCCAGCAGATGGCATAGCAGTTATGTTGCTGAATTCCCACATGGCTGACTGCATGGACCTGGACCTGGTAGCTTGAAAATCATGCCTGGCACATGCACTTATATGCCCAAGATCCTGGAGGAGAATGGAGAAGGGATTGGGAAGTGGTCACCCCCCTCAGGAGTGATTTCTCACTTTCTCTCTCACTGTCTCTCTCTTTCTCTCTCTCCCTCTTATGCGCCCTAAGCAAAACAAACAAAAACAAACAAAACAAAACAAAAAATTCTAAAGAAAAAACTGAAAACCCTGTTTAAATCTAGAGTACCTATTAGGATAAAATGACATAGTTCAGTTAAAAAAAGCCTTTCTTCTACTCTGAAGTCTGCCACTAGAATGAGGCTGGATACCACAGATTACGTCATTGATCAGCAACAGAAAGTTACTGGGTTCACATTTCTGGAGGTTGGGAAGTCTAAGAGTGTGTTACCAGCATCTGGTGAAGGTCATTCCTTGGCAGAAAACAGAAGGCAGAAGCGAACACTTACGACAGATGAAATGCCGCCAAACTCATCCCTTTATATCAGGAACCCATTTCCGAGATAATTAAGTTAGTCTCATGACAATGACATTAACGCGATCATAAAAATTCTCATGACCTAATCAATCTTAGAGATGCCACCTCTTAATACTATCACAATGACAAGTACATTCCCAACATATGAAACTTAGACGTAATCAAATCACAGCAAATTCAAATATTGATAAAATGTGTTTCCAAATTTTTAAATGAAGCTTATACAACCATATTTTGAGGATTAGGGGATAATGTGTCCAAAGTGCTGACACATGGTGTCTGAGCACTATTCTTTTTTGCTGTAAAGGAGTAAGCACACAAACCTGCCAATAGCAAACTCACCTGTTCTACTTTCAGTCTCTCTGTACTTTCTT